ACATTTTAAAGTGAACTACTCCTTTAATAATCTAGTGCATTAGATGTCTTTTTTTTAGGTTTTAGGTACAAATGAGAAATAATGAATCCATTATAAACATATCAAGGTAAGCATCTTCATGTTATTAGCCCTCCTTGAACCCATGGAGGTGGAGGTTTTGAATGAAGACAAGTGTTTCCAGCTTTCATCACTGGGATCTGTGATGAGGTAAGTATTGCCATGGAACCAGTCGGTCATTTCAAACCTTCACAATAGAATATTGACAACCACCAGGAGCAGCCTGTACATCTTTAGTGCATCAATAGTGGCTCTTTGTATTATTACTCTAGAGCTTTAAAGAAAATAGGTTGTATCCTATGAGGAGCACTTCAAAAGTATGAAAAGCCATTTCGGGGTACTCCATTAAAAAACAAAATGAAAAGATGACTGCTGAACTCAGTGGCAGCTGTGCTGCATGTTGTTGACATCAACCACAATACACACTGTTGCTCTTATGAGAGACATAACACATGATCAATAACAGAAAATAATAGCATTCATATTAAAATATGGCATAGCAGGCAGCTACTTCTTTTCAAAAGATTGGGGTCAGTAAGATTTTTTTTCTATTAATCAAAATGTATTTCAGAAGATATTACGCTGAACAACTTTTTTCAACATTGATTATAAGAAATGTTTCTTGTGCACCACATTAGCATATCAGAATGATCTCTGAAGGATCATGTGATACTGAATATAATTATAATGACTACTGAAAAATCAGCTTTACCAACACAGGAATAAATAGTATTTTATTAAATATATTAAAATAGAAAACTACCATTTAAATTGTTAAAATATTACAAAATATTACTGTTTTTACTGTATTCCATAAATTTGATCAAATAAATGCAATGCATTTAAAAAATCTTACCAACCCCAAACTTTGTAGCGCCATGTATATTTCCATATTATTCTCAGAATTGCATGATGAAACTTGGACATATAGGAAAGACAATAACTGATAATGAAATTACACATTCTTAATCATGACATATCAGATGACCTGATGTTCAAATAACCGATATTTATACATATTATCTTTTGTCACATTAACTGCCAATTACCATTTGACACCAGAGCACAACATTGCATTATGACTGAAAAAGCCTCTCTCAGTTGTGAATTGCCACAGAGCAGTTTTGGGCATCAACAAACCTTAGCACTAATGAGAAGACATCTGTTGAGCTTCAGGTCCTGCTCCACTGTCTAAAGGGATCATGGGAGCATGAGATCCATGTCAGCTGCAAGGTGGCTAGACCTCAATTGTAAGCTACAAGAGCAGATCATTATATCACTTTCTTTTTTATATGGAGCAATGTTCTGTTTATGCATTAATTTCCCTAGAGGTTGCAGCATATTTGTACTTGTATTAATAGTGCTATATTTTGATGAGCCTTCTAGGGGTTAGAATAAATAGGATCAAAGGTCTTCTCATTGTCGAACACGGATAAGGATCATTACTGGGCGAGTATAATCAGCATCTTAAAATCAAACCACAGAAAAGAAAGTAGGTGTTCAATTAACTGACTACAGAAGAATGAACACTTGAAGAAACTATTAATTTGATGAAATTCTCTCTCATTAGTTTCAATCTAAACACAATAGGCATTTCCCAGGAAAAACAAAAAAATGTCCACATTATACAAATTATCAAAGCCAAATATATCTTCAGTTAATTAATTATTAAGGATTCAGTGACTAATGACTACCGTGATAGAAATGAATAAATAAATGGATTACTTAAAATGTCAAATTACAAAAATGACTTGACTGTATTAAATATTAGCATTTTACTCAACAACATAAAAACACTATTCAATCTAATTAAAATAAAGCAACTGACAATTTCACCTTGAGTAATATTTAAGCCATTTCAGTGAAAAGCGTTTTTCTTTTATGAGACACACTATTATTTCCAAACATTCTTATTAAAAATGTAGAAGATTGAATCATTACCTCTCCATCATCTTGCTGGTATAGCAGTGGTGGTAAAAGAAAAAAATCCTTCAGCATCATTCTGTTCAATGCTCCTGGCAGCCCTGTCCTCATTATACAGTCTATTAAACCCAAATGCAACCTCAGCTCCAGTTGTTTCCTTATGCAATGAATTAACTCTGAATTCAGAGCTGAGCATTTCGACTGTCACTATTCTCTATTATCATATGTGAAGTGAAAGTACAGGACATCACTGGAACATATGAACAGCTATACTCTAGATTATGTCATGACGAAACATTGGGAAAACTAACAACTATGATGCCCTGGAACAACAACAGCATAGTTTGATGACTATAATGACAAGAACAGTCAATAAAAATCAGTTTGTTTTCATCTGTGTAATAATTGTAAGGGGTATACAGTCAAAGACCCAGAACCAGATATGAAGAATGAAGACCCGGAGTCAGAATTATAAAAAATTAAAGAAAAGTTTTACTGAAGATAGTTTGCATTTTCATCAGCAGAAGTCAGCTTCAAGACTCACACAGGAGTTCGTAGGCCGCCCCACTTACAGTTACAAAGATCACAGCAGTTATACCATTTCCAAGGTCTAAGCTACGTCATTGCTTACAGGTTGAATGATTCTCATTGGCTAAGAAACATGAAAGCCTAAACAATTTAACACATGTGAGGAGATAGGGGTGCCTATCGCCATTAGTAAAGATAGTTGTCGTCCACTCATTGGATTTAGGTCTGTGGTGGCCTCGCAGGTTAGAGAAGGGCGCCGGGGTGTCTGGTCCGAACGTCCAGAACCTACATAGAATGTCATACGCACACACACACAAATAACAGACACTAGCAAATAACAGCTCCCATCAAGGCTGAAGAGAGTCTGAGCTCCTTATTATCAGTTAAGTATACCAAAACATAATGCTAAAACCTTCACTCGTTTGGGAGAAAAACAGATCACTGGCATTTACTCCCAAGGAAGGAAATATACTGGAAAGAATACATTTTAATACAACAATTAAAGTTTGATAGTAACGCTCAATATAGCTTGACCATATGTCCAGCGAAGAATCATATGTGCCCACGCTGCCTTTAGGACCCTCTAACCTTTCTACTGATCCCAGAGAAAGAGACAAACGGCCTTGTGGGTTACGTGGCCTTCGTGTCCTGCGTGTACTACGTGCAATCTCAAAGTAAGATTGGAATGCACCTAAAAGAAACTGGTTACTTGCATCCATGCATTTAAGAAAATATAATTTCACAAGCACAAGAATATAAAAATTATTATGTGATAATGAATATATTTGATTATTGATTTTTATAAAGGAAGTATATAACCATTCAAAATGATATATGATTATATATGTATTTGAAGAGGCAAGGGATTTTGACCAACCCTTCATAATTTACAGCCCTAATCGCACTGACTTATGAGTGGCAATATTCTTGTAGATTTGGAACAGTGATGTAGTATTTTATCACAGTATATAAAATATTTCAAAACAGCTGTCACTGCCCTCACAACCAAATATAAAAATGCATGGGGCTGATGTATTATTTAGCAGAGATGGAATTTGGAATATCAGCAAAAAAAGAATTCTAATAATATCTTTATGCCAAATTTTTAAAAAAAAACTAACGATTGAAGGAACCTGAGTCCTAAGGAAATAAAAGAATCCAAGAATGAAACAGACCACGTTTTCAGTTCCCAACAGTGAAGCACTGGTCTCCCGACACATGCTACAGGGTTGTTTGTAATCATGACATGAGACACAAAAATAACAAGAGAATACTGGGAGGACACTGCAGATGGTAAATTACAATATGTATGAGATACAGTTTCTCAAAAGCACATGGCTTTTCAGTCTTTACTGTTCCTGAGAGCCAAGCAGGGTTCATTTCGACTTGTCCACAATCCTTTGCACACAGACATCAGCAATATGAGCTTGGAAATAAGGGAAAAGAAACAAGACACATTCTGTGCCTTAAAGGAGTTGTTTCTCCCTGTACCTTCCTTTTGTGAAAGAAGAATTTTTAAATTAATCATAACTAACATTTCTTTTTCTTGCAGGCTTGACATTTGTATGCTTCTGAGACTAACACTTTACTAACAGTTTAGTGAAAGTTGGAGGCTAGACGGCGGTCTAAATATAATGACCTGAGTAACAAGCTGAAGTAATAAAAAAACAAAAACACAAAAAAAGTTGCTTTGCCAGCAGGTTAGTGGAACACTAGAGACCTTATTCCCAAGTGATAGTGTTCATAGAGGACGAGAAGTCGTCCGACTAGCTGACATCGATTAGGTTAACTTAAGTCAGGTGTGTAGGGGAATTTCTACCACACTTTCCATGAGGAAAGTCCAAGAATGAGAATAAAGACAAAAAGTTATAATCAAATTTAATGTCACAGACAGGGTACGGGATTACACTTTGCTTTTTAATTCTAATTTTCTTATTCTTATTCTTATTATTAATACATGGTATACTTGACTTTGATCAATAGCGTTATCCAGGTAATGGTCAGTTGGCCATTATTGCAAAATAAAACCTGTCGAAACTCAGAAAGTGTATTGGCCTATTTTTAAACTAATTTTAATTCTAACATTTTTTTTGACTGATATATGGTCGAGGGGCAGCAGAAGGAGGAAATAAATGACATCAGTTTGTTCAGTCAAAAACTTCAGGCTATTAAAAAAAGAATCAAGCTGCATGTGCTCTTTTCTTCCATATTAGCTCATTTAACTGAATGACATTATGAAATGATCCTTAATGGGCCCTAATGGACAAAAACACTACTTTTATGTAATGATATAATGAAGCTAATTGTTCTATAAATATATATATAAAGAGCCATTTAATAACCACATACTTGAATGCAAATCTCAATTACTTAAATGTTTTATATAATGCGGTGTGCAAATGTACCTTTTAAAGGTCCGCATTATAACTTTTATTCATCTTCATGTGTTGTTTATTTTAAGCCATCAATCTTCTATGTATGTCTTGTGTTTTTTAAGGGCAAAACATAACACTGCAAAGCCAAAGATGGTCAAAAATGTAAATAAGACAACAGGATGCATTAAATCACTTCTTGATTTAAGGAGTCTGACAGAAATTGTAATAAAAAAACATTTATAAAATGTGAGTCAGTTCGATGCATTTCTAAATAAGTTCCCCTCGCATGGGAATAGACTGGACACTGTGTGGGAGCCAGCGGAAACGGAGCCTGGTCATCGGAGAGTCGTCAGGGTTCTCAAACTCAGAAAAGCCCAGATGGTTGAGGATGGTATAGATGCCAGCTCTAGCTGCCACCTGCAAACCAGCAAAACTCATGAATGCATTTCAAACACTTAAACATTAAAAGGAGTAATAAATATGACTATAGGTTCTTCATTGGGATCGATGGTTCAATGAAGTACCTTCAACATCCATTGAACCTTTCCATTGCACAAAATGATCTTTATAGTGGAAAAAGGTTCTTTAGATTATTACGAAGTTCTTTACACTAAGAAAAATGGTTCTTTTAAAAACTGTTCATTGAAAGGCTCATTTGGGGAGTGTATTACATATTTGCATTTTCTGAATACATTTTAGAGGGGTTTACAGCAAGCTTCACACTAGTAATTTTCATAAGTCTCGTAGCTGTTCACTTGTTCTTAAAGGATGGCAGGATGATGGTAAAACACTTCTGAGGCCTTGACAGAATGCTTAATTTATTTACTTCACAAATAAGAAAACACATATAGTGCTGCACCAGCTGAATCTACAATTTGGAACAATTTGGATTTTTTCTTTGTGCATCTGAGGACAGATTGTTTAGAGGGCAAATAAGGTGATGATAACCTCTTGTGTAACTCAAGCTCAACTATATCTGTTAGAGCAGGGGTCGTCAAAATGCCGTCTAGAAACCAGCAAGAGGTTGCTAGGTCTGTGGAAAATTTGAGAGAAAACAACTTTTTACAAATTAATTTTTTGCTTAATCATAGTTAACATCATTTCTTAAGAGATAAAAATGAATACACTGCACTTTTCAAAAGTCCGGGTTCCGTAATTCGTAATTCCGTAAAAGAAAATGTATTTTAAACTATAATAATATTTCATAATATTACTGTTTTTACAGTCTTTTTAAATAAATGCAGCCTTGGTGAGCAATTCTTAAAAAAACATTTAAAAAAAATCTTACCATTTGTTTAATGCAATTATTTACAGAATTTTATATTATTTCTCTTCCATTTTCATTGTTTTTAAAGTTAAAAAATGGTTCTAAATAGATATAAATAATATTAAATAAAAAAATATATATTTTTTAATTCACAGCCATAGTTTTAATAGTAAAAATAAGAAAACACAAGGTGACCTATACTGTATAGTCTTCCAATTATCTTCTACCCCGTAAAACCAAGTTTAAAAGCCGTGGCTAAACAAAGGTTTGACTCAAGAAACCTCTAAATGAGACAGAATACATTTACAACTTCATATTGACAGACCACATTGTGAAGCTGAAATTTTTAGTGGAAGTTTTGGAAGTGGAAAGCATTTTGTTTTGCTGTAGTATTTTGAACAACTGGAAACAAAGAAAACTTATGATATAAAATAAACAAGAAATACTTAAGATTCTGCATATTTACTAGGTCACTGAAATGACTGAAAACAAATCTAATTTGCATTAAGTGCAGATGTGGTCATAATGTCTGATATGATCAAGCTCTGAATTCTCTAACATTAAATTGCTAAATTATCATTTTCAGTTTAAATATATTTTAGTTTTCAATAAAAAAAACATTTTCATTTTATTTTAAAATAAAAAATATTTGAAAAATATTTGATAATTCATTTTATTTCACAATTCAGAAAGAAAATATTTGCTCTGTCGATTAGAATACACTCTAAGTAAGCATGAAAAACAGCTTGCATGTGATATGTTTCTCTTCCTAAAGTAAGCAAGCGAGTCCGGCTTCACCTGGTACATCCACTGGCTGAAGGATCGCCTCCAGGAGTCTTTCTTCTCCAGATGGAGGTAGCAGTTAAACAGGATGAGATAAATGTAGCGCTCGAGGTACTGTAGGCTCCTTAACCGCAACCACTGAGCATCAGCCTCCGATTTAGCCATCTTAATCTGAGGAGGGAGAAATGTCTACTGTTATTCCTCTTGCCCTCTTATTTGTGACAAAATCCTTATGGCATGACACAGTTTATCAATGAAGATTATCATTTCAGTTATAATCTACCATATCTGTTCACTTTGGTAAGTTTATTTTGTGGGTGTTATAAAACAGCGTCTGAGATCTACACAAACAGGGCCTAAACAAGTGATCACACCAGTGTTTAAAATGAGGTGCATATTTGCTGGATTGACTGATATCCATATTCAACAACTTCTGCTCTAGAAAGTTAGTTCCTTAGTAATCTATTGAATATAATCTCATGTAGACATTTCCACTAGACTCATTTAATATAGATTATAACAAACAGCCTCTACCGTTTTCAAATTAGAGAATTTATAAACGTTTTTCACCTTTTCCATGTTTTAACAGCAGAGAAAGTAAGGGAAATGACAGAAAAGGACAGGAGAAGAGGAGAAAACAGGATTGGGGATTTGCGTCACCTGCATGAGCATCAAGGGACATCGTTTGACTAACTAATTTAAATCAAGTTACTTTTGACCTGTTATCGCAAGTGTGCTACCTGCCAGGCCATGTCTGAGACCAGTTGAAATATGTATAAAGCCAAGTATTTTTCACAGTTGGTAGTTTTCACTTCACCCTTTTCTTTTGACTTTAATATTCTACAATGGGTTCTAAAAGTCTGAGACCGCTAGTAAAAAAAAAAAAAATTTGATTACTGATTCATTAAAAATGTACATGAATATAAATCCACAGGTTAAAGTAAAAAAAAAAAAGCCCAGACTTTCAGCATTAAGTCTTCAGAATTTTGGAACTCACTGTATATCAAGAGGACAAAAACAGGTGCAAATTGACAAGCAATTCACACAATTTCACAGAATTAATCAAGAGCTTCAGATTATGCAAATCATTTAGAATAAGGCAGCTGTGCTTCTAAACTAGCCTGTACATAAAATCTCTATAACAGGCCTTGCAGAAATGCGGTTCTTGCAATGTACAATTGTTACATAACTGTCATGTAGGTGATCAAAATGAGTTAGTCCTGTTACCCATGTACACATACGATGTACTTATTATAGTAATTACAATTACTGGGTAATAACTAGGTACTAACCCTGAACCTACCCCTAACCCATGTACTTACCTTATATTAGCCAGTATTTTGTATGTACACTGTAAGTACACGTAAGTACTGTACTGTAAAAGGAAGCGTTACCATAAAACTAAATTTTTTTTGGACCATAACAAATATCTGCAGGGTTTTTTAAAGCAGTCTTTTTGAAAGCTCTCTGCTTATTTACGTCACTGTTTGTTTTCAAGGCCTTCGTGTAATTCAGCCTCAAATCAAACACATTCAGTGTGCTTTCGCCTAATGCATACATTCAGAGGCACTGGAATGGGCATTAATAATCTCTTTGTCCCTTTGAGTGCATCAGTACAAATGAGAAAATTGTACCTCTATAAACTTCTCAAGGCTACTATATGTTAGCTACAAAGACATGTGCTGTGGAAGTGATCTATTATTCAACATGACTCTTAAAATAAGGAGCACTGACTGACAGTCTTATTAACTACCTTTTTTTACAGTCGACTTTTCATGTTGAAGTTTATGCAAGCAAACACATAAAAAATAGTCCCACGAACCACATAGAAGATACAATAAAAATATTATATATATATATATATATATATATATATATATATATATACACATATATATTAATCACTTTACCTGTCTGTAAGTGGATATGATGATTTCCCGTAAATGGAAATGCATTGGGGTCATTGTCTCACTAACAACATCTAGAGCAGCATCCACTTCTCTCTTCACACAATGGCCATCAGGTAACACCCTTACCACCTGCATCACCACCTGAACACACACACGTGGGTCAAACTTCATCATATAAATACTGTATATATATATAAACTGTATATATAATGTATGTATATATATCATTCAATTTGCATTTACAGATCACAGGTGGGTTTAAGTTTATTAATTATTCATTTAAAATGTTCAAATATTACTAAATGTTTGTTTTAAGGTTGGCAGTGGGAGCTGTTTAAAGATACATGACCTCAAATTGTACCTCAAACTCTCCTTTGGTGTACTTGGCATCTGGAACACTTACAATCTCATCTTCTTCACACTCAGGAAAGCCCTGCAGGAAACAGGGTCAGGTTTATGAAACTGATTTGAGCTCAGTTCAGACATTTTTCATCCATCTAACCAATACCCTGGAGGCGAATACTTGAACTCTTGCTTCCTCTCTCCACTTCAACAGCCGATAGCGGAAAATGACTTACATTAATGTGCCACAGGGTGAGAGTGGCAATGACCATAGCTGCAGTAGTTCGGTCTTTCCCATCATGACAGTTGAAGATGAAAGCGCAGGTAGGGTCTTCAGCCAGACTACACTTCATGGCCTCCAACAACTGGTCAAAATCCTGAGAAAGAGCAACAGCATTTCAACTAAAGTGTCAGATCTATACCATGCTTTATATTGTACCGTCTTACCTCTTCTTTAGGTGCACAGCAGTCAGACAGGGGAATCCGGTGGTAGCTGAGACCTGGATGAATGCTCTTCTGATGGACGAAGAGCTCCTCTATGGTGTGACAACTTCTAAACATCCTCATCTGTTTATCCTGCTCTGTAATCACCTCCAGCCACTTCTCACACCTCAGGACATCCTGCTTCAGTGCCAGCTCAATTTCCTGTAGAGACGGCCATTTACCATTGCTAACACTTCTCAGGTTATTAGATTACAGCAGCCAATCTTGTAGGTGAAAATAATTTTAAAAAACGCTCATATCACATTTCAGACAAAGCTATTGTACATGTAACAAAGAAAAATATTTACCAAGACAGTATGTGGACCAAATATTTAATTACTTGTGTAATAAAATATGTCCTAAAATAAGACTGTCAATGAGCCACAATATGTACTTACACTACATACTTACACTCTAGCCTAATTTTTAATGGGGAATATCTACTATCGTCTATTCAATGTTTTACAGGTAAATTGCATTTAGCGGTGTTTCCTTCGTTTCCAAATCAGTCTTTTTGAACAAGTAATTTAAGTGAATTGTTCTCATTCACTTACATGAACTAACGCAAATGTTAATAAAGGATAATAACACTCTTTTTTTATTGATTGAGTGACTCACCTACTCGTGCAAAGGCTTACACTTGGTAGCAACAAGCGAGTATCCTTTCGTGTGTCTCTCAACCTTCTGATTTAGATTTAAAATGTTGTTAAAGAAATTCATAATGATTTCTGTCAAATTATGTTTCTTTGAACTTTTTATTCAATAGAAAATTATGAAAAACAAATTAAGCAGCATAACTGTTTTCAACATTGATCATAATACATGTTGCTTGAGCACCATATCAGCATATTAGAATCATTTCTGAAGGATCATGTGACACTGAAGACTGGAGTAATGATGCTGAAAATTCAGCTTTGCCATCACAGAAATAAATTACATTTTAAAATATATTAAAACAGAAAATAAGTAATTAAATAGTAATAATTCTAATACACAACAATATTACTGTTTTTATTGTATTTTTGATCAAATAAATGCAGCCTTGGGGAGCATAAGAGACTTCTTTTAAAAACATTTAAAAAATCTTACCAACCCCAAACATTTTAACAGTAGTGTATATCTATGGGAGTAACATGTTACAAATCTTTTTGGTGAACCGATTCAAGTCACTTGGATGAATCAGAATCCCCACCACTATACATTTTAAACACACATGATGTGTTGTTGCAAGCTTTAGCAGGTTTAGCCCCTGTATACTGCACATTGTATTGAACTGTAAATTGTACTGTGTTGTATTCACAGCATGCATTCTGTACCTACAACAATTTTGTCCAGTCCAGTCATACAAAGCCACAGAAATAAAGACTATCCTCTTTAATTCTATTTAATAATACATACTACTACTACAGATCTTCCCTGAACAGAAACGCACCTGGAGCTGCCGTGGATGTTGAACACAGACGGGAATAGGCTGTTCCAGACAGCCTGGCTCTCGTGGGGTGAACATTAGTCCATTTGCCTCCAGTGCAAGCTCTTCCTGTAGATTCAGCCAGAGAATTGTGGAGTGCCCTCGCCTCTGGTCTGTCAGGTAGGACATCACAACAGCAAGAGCCTGAAATGGGCACAAACAAGCTTTGATTAGTGTACACTGTACAGGCAGATGCTATTTAGAAGACTGACCTGCTGAAATGAGCTTCAAAAAGGATTTACCTCAGAGTTTGGCTGGCCCATTCCATACAGGGCCATTTTTGAAACACGTCTGAAATTGGCCACTTTCATCTCCTTGGCTGTACTGAGCAGATCCGTTGCTAAAAACTCACTGGACACCTTTTAAAAAAAGTTATTATGTGCATAAGTGCATGCCTATGTTTTAGGAGAATCTGCTGTGCTACAGGAGAAGGAGAAGGAGGAGGAGGAAACAGTTCGCATCTGATAAGAGCCAGGCTAGAAAATCTCATGTTAATGAGATTCAGTCTACCGGTATGCTTTTAAAAAGATGGTTTAGGCTTTCTAGAACCATAAACTAATGTTCTGGGAACCAAAAATTGTTCATTGTGTTTGCGGTTGAGCCCTTACCAGAACTCGAATCCCATTGGCTATAAGGTTTGCTGGTGCTGAGAGTTCTGAGCTATCCATGCTGGCCAGCAGTCTGTAGATCCAAGCGTTCATACACATCCACTGACTGAAGCTCTGGGAAAACGCCTGTGGATACTACAGAGATGGAAAAAGACAGCTGGTAATGCAGAGATTATTCAAATTATGGCATAATCTGGTAGACATTACTGCTTTTAAATATGATATGTCGAATTTAGTTAGCAATACCTGATCATGAAGATATGCATTGAACACTAGTAGGTACACATAGCGCTCGAGACTCTGCAGAGTTCTTTGCAGGAAATAGCCTTTTGTGCTGCTTCCCTGAAAACAAAAATGTGTGAATGACACAAATATGTGACCTTCATTTAACAATTTTTACATTAAAGCAAGTTTAATAGCAGTTAAACAAAACAGACACATTAATGTTTTAGTCGAGACTCACTTGAAACTGGAAGTTTTTCCCAATGCCTTCCAGCTTTAGTTTGTTTTCATACACAGCATCTTTTATGTTATGCATCTCTGAACACATAGCAATAGCATCATCAACCTATGGTGTATACATAAAAAAGCACTTAATATGATTTACATAAAACCATTCATTAAATCCTAAAGTGGTATGTTTTGTAAGAAGTAAAAGGCTTGGTTTCTGTTTACTTCTATTACTTTTCCAAATGAATACACCCTTGAAAGCAATTGGACCACTTCATGAACCATGAGTTATACAAACATAATTAATACGCTCTAACCTCATCAAGGAGTTGTTGACCTTTAGGTAGGCGACTGATTAGCAACTGAATCACTTGGAAATCCAATTTGTGTTCACTCTTCTGTATTTCCTGCCTGTGAAAGAAATGGAGAATAAGTAGAACTTAAACAGAGAAATTACCTTAAAACAATTGAATTACAGAAAAGTGTTATTAGTTCATAAGTAATGCTCTTCTTTGGTAAACAGTAATTGAAACGGCACTAACAGTTTACTATAGGTACCTGAGGCTATTTGATGCCCCCTGCAGGTGATGTAAGACTAAGGCTCCCAGAATTAAGCCAAGATTGGTGCGTCCTACCCCCACCTGGCAGCTGAAGAGCAGTGCAGGCAGAGGTCTGGAGCTGCCCCGCATCACAGAGAGGTTTGGGGTCTCCTGGTGGGCACAAAGGTGGGTGAAGAACATTGGCCAAACTAAAATACAAGTGAATAACATAAAACTATGTCATTCATACCACAAATACATAATGGCAGGCCTAAGCCAGAATTAGGTCTTAGCTAAATTAAGACATTTAAGTAGCTTTTATAAAGGTGCTTTAGAAAAAAACCTTACTGGGGTCCATCTTGAGACAAAACAATGGAGCTGTCATGGTTTAAAATATGTCAGTGCAAGCTGCTTTCAGTTAAAACAGCTCAAACATGCATTTTAGACTGGGACTAGGCTTAAAGAGCATATTGCAGGTAAAAAAAATCTAAATGAATATATAACCTTGTATGAAAATAACATATGAAAAGTTAATGCAGGATTTAAAATGTTTTAAAACGACATAAGGGCACTAATTTAGTAGATAAAGTGAGCGTTTCTTGGACTGCTCGTAAAAACGGCTTTTTTTTCTTTCTCAACATCGCGTCATTTTACGTCACGTCAGGGAGCCTCAGCCTCCCTCAGCTCAGTGCAGCAGAGTAGGCTGGTAATGGTATCCAGTGAGAGCGGTCGTGAGTGTGTTTTCGGTAGTTTTTGTATTTCATTTTATCATCGTCATGGTAAATTATTGTGTTTGTGGAGGTTGCAAAAACTCCAGCCTGTCAGGACATCGAGTCCACAGGTTTCCATAACAATAAAAGGGACGATGCTATATAGCCTATATCTTTCATGCCTGGTGGTGCGGTTTGTGCAGGTGAAGAGGGATAATCTGTACAATATTGTGAGCACAGTGTATATCGTTAGCGAACTTGTATCTAACGTTATAAGCACTCTCACCAAGACACCTGTCCTGTTCTCCACGTGTTCTCCTCACACCACAACTCAATTTGTCTCTGACCTTTCTGTCATTATCCTGGCCTGTCCCCGCTCTATTGGCAGTATAGCAGGCTCATAATTGTATGGCTGTGGTCCGTCATACGAGTAAGTATTTCCTCAGCGTCCGAAATGTCATTTATTAATTTATTGCGATCCATTGTTTTCCTGTTGTTTGAATCGACCGCTCTCCCGCCCGTTACGTCACGCCCATTTTCAGACGCGGAAGTAAAATTTTCTCACAAAAACGACTCCAGAAGCTTCTGTAGCGTATTTATAAGTATATTTTAAAGAAAATTTAGTTCCTACATTATTTTTCTTTACATTGACTCGTTGGGTCCTCTGCAATATGACCTTGTGAAGCCAAATAAGTTACAATTCTGTATACATTTCTGTAACCTCAAAAGAGAATACATATTCATTCTTGGCTGTGTCAGTCCAACTCTGATAAAAGGAAAATAAAATTAAGATGGAAAAAAAACGGAAGAAAAAATCTCTCGCCATTTCCTGATCATGAGCGGATACCTGAAGACATTTTTCATGGTCTTAAGTTAACATTTATAACTTGTGTCGGTGTTAATATGGTTTTAAAAGATTGATGATTGGTGACAGTGAAATATAAATAAAGTTTGCTGGCTAGTGCTGGGTTCTTGGGATGAATTATTGGTTCAGTGACACAAATCATCAGATATAAATAAACCAGAGCTCACATGGAGTTATTTTAAACTTAGAAACAAGAGTGAGAAAAAATATAAATTATATTCATAGAGGTCTTACCCGGAGTATATTAACAAAAGAATCAAATGTCTCCTCCAGTGGTGCCCCTTCCATGGGAAGCGGTAATCTGTAATATCTAAATTCATAAAAATGTATAATCAAACAAAAAAAAAAATCTAAAAGGTAAGATTAATTTTTATTCATATATCAGCATACATTTTGCCAGGTTTTTATTTAATTTACAACAGATTTCTTTTATTTCTTTTTTATATGAATATCTTATTAAAAGTGTCTTGGAAAGTTTTTCCCATGTCATCGTTTATTTTTGATACTTTTCAAATGCCTTTTGTGTACAGTATTGTTCAAAGGTTTGCAGTCAATAAGATAATTTATTTCAAATAAATGTTGTTCTTCTGAACTTTCTATTCATCAGTGAATCCTGAAATCAAATGTATCATGATTTTCACAAAAGCACAACAGCACAACTGTATTCAAAATAGTAATAATTTAATAAGAAGAAGTTTCTTCATGTGACACTAAAGACCGTAATAATGTCTGCTGAAAATTCAGCTTTACCATCACAGGTATAAATTACATTTTAAATATGTTAAAATACAAAACAATAATATTTGTAATAATATTCACAATATTACGTTTTTGATCAAATAAACACAGCCTGGGTGAGCATCAGAGACTTCTTTAAAAAACATTTAAAATCTTAGTGACCCCAAACCTTTAAAAGTTTGAACACATTTATTATGTAATAAAATATGAGGAAATACCTGTGTAACAGTTGACTGAAAAGTGGTCTTTTGTAGACCTCCTCAGTGACATGAATGTCCTCCTCTGACATAATCTGAACATGCTGAGGTTCATCTTTAAAATGCTCAATGTCATTATAGACATAGAACATATTTTCACTCAGCTTGGCAAAGTCACACAACTGGAGAAAAAATCAGAGAATTAAAAACTGACATGGAACAGACACTATGACACATTTCACCATAAATGGATGGCAATCAATCCTCCTCACACAACTAGTTGTGCTCTATAACTGACCTCTTTTCGGATGCAGAGCTCTATTTGCTCTGCATTGAGCTCTCTGTCCAGGTCATGCAGGTTTTCATGGAGGTTTTCTCTTCTTCTGGGAGTGTACGGAATAAAGTCTCCATCTGAGCGGAAGAACACCACTGGCTCCTCCCTCACGCAGATTAAAATCACCTCCTGTTCACATATTTTGCGAGATAAACAGCGATTCATCTGAGATCGTTATTTGAATGCCTATTTGCTGAACATATGGTAGTCAAGTTTGGGAGTTGGGACAGAACAAAATCACCATTTTATAGGGAAATTTGATGTAGGTTTATGCTACTTAAAAGCTAACAAAAATAATGATTCTTACAGCAAAAAACACTTTGGGACCCTAAAGTGTACTGTATCCGTGCCTCATTTCCTTACTTCCTACTCAAAGGACCACTCACTGACCTCACAGCCGTCAATCTGCAGTCTCTGGAGGACCTGTTTGAAACCATTCAGGCTAGGTTGGCCCATTCCAAAAAGGGGGTAGTTTCCCTTGACCTTGCGGAAGTTGGGGGCCCCGTGGCTTTTTGTAGTATTTAAGACATCAGCTCTATTGTATACATCCTGTATCATAAAAAACTCCCCCTGGAAAACATAAAAGCAAGTCATAAAACGTATTTCATCGTAAATGACAAGGAATTTCCATGCACTGATCTACATCTCCTGGTCATTAATGCATTGTGTTTCAAACAATAAGCACTAAATATTTAGTTTAAATCTCAAAAAGACAAACGTACCAACACTAGGTAGTGCTCAGGCAGCAGGTCAGATATCCTTCCCTTCGAGTAGTTGGAAGATTGGATCTTGTCATGAATCTGAAACTCTTCCCTGCAGTTATTTCTGTATAGAGACAAAACTCAACGTTTTTGAAATGGCATACAACTGATAATACATGTTGGTCTTATCCTTTAATTCAAGGTGAAGTGGTTGAGGACATCCACTACTGTTTTCACTCAAAGAGTAACACACAGGCGTGACATTTTGTGCATAAGTGGGCACTTACGGTCAGTTTTAAAAAGCATCATGTTGCACTTGTCACTTACGTGATGACAACAGGGGCCACCTTGTTTGTGATGATGGACTTAGCCTTGCTGTTGCGAATGTTCACCGACGGTAGTGAGCGCCTGTGCTCGGCCATGCTGTTCCCTTGGTGATCAGCCTGGTGTGTAGGTGCAAGCGGAGCAGCCTGGGAAGTTGCACTGGCGCTCGTACCCATAATCTGCACAGAACTGGAATGAGGATTTATACTGTGACTAATATAAAGTAAACAGGCAGACATGTTAGTCATTTTACATGGGGTTATTTCTAACTTTGGCACATTTTAAAGGGCCAGATGCACTTTGTGCAGTGAGACCACAACGATCCAATTTCCACAACAAAACCCCCTAATAAAACACATTATTGAAGTTTTATAATCTCTTTGAATATGTTCCTATTAAATTGCATGTGCACAGCATCTCTGTCATGTTATTTGATTGTAAAATGAATGGCTTACGGTCTCACAGCTGTGCCGCGTTTGTTCACATCCTTTGGTTTTTGCATCGTATTTTTCAGCAAGGGTTTAGGTCTCTCTTTAAGTGTAAATCCCGCAAAACAAACTCAGTTTCCTGTTGCTATCAGAATATCAACATAAACAGCCTTCTGTTTCAAAACAAACCACCACTGAAGTTTTGCTAGTGTCTTTTCTTCTCTTTCTCGCTCAGTGCCTCTCTGGTTCTCTTCTCACAGTGACAGGATAACAGTTCCAATCCTTTTGGGGGCCACAGAGAAATACAGTACATCTGGCAACCAGACGACAGTGTGGGCGGCTCCAGACATTCACAGGGACAGCCCATTCAAAGGCCATGACGGAGACATTAGAGAAAGCCAAAAGTGAGAAGAAAGAGAGTGCCAGATCAAACATGTCTGATGCCTTTGGATCTACTGAAATCAACTGAACGTGTTTGATATCAGTCATGAAGCAAAACTAATCTCCTCCATGGATTTCAGCGATAAGGCAGTTAATTAAACAAATCATGTTTTCCTCCCCCTCCCCCCTACTCCTTTCATAAGATCAAGTTTGTGCCAGAGAGATATCACTGGGAAATGTATGATAGTTCTGTGAATGTCATTAGGACATTCCTGCTTTATGTTTATATAACTGGCTGGTCTATTGAATGTTTGGGATACTGAGTCGCTGGCACCAAGAGCAGGGCTTGATTTAAATTCCAGTTGTGCCCGAGTATCACGGTCCCAGAACAAAAAAACAACTACAACGAAAAAAATCTCTAAATTTGGATGGGAAAGGCCCCGGGATGAATTTGTACAAGGCTGCACAGATCAGTGCAGATATTCAGTGAGTGGGAGTGACTAGTGATTTGCACATCCTCATTCACGCTGAGAAATGAGGAGCTTGAAAACGACATTTGTTCATTAAGCTTTCAATCCACATCAAATTCTGAATATGAAAATACTGAAACACTGCATGTACAAACATTTAAGGGATAGTTCACCCAAAAATGAAAATTGTCATAATTTACTCACCCTCAACTCAAGTTGTTCCAAACCAAAACTCTATGAATTTATTTCTTCTGCTTTACACAAACGAAGATGTTTTGAAGAATGTCCGTAACCAAACAGTTGATGGGCCCCATTGACTGTCTGGTTACCAAATTCCAGCATTCTTTAAAATATCTTCTTTTGAGTTTGGCATAAGAAAGAAATTCATACAGGTTTGGAACAACTTGAGGGTGAGTACATTTTTTGGGTAAACTCGCCCTTTAAGAGGCTGTGTAATAATTAGACACTAACACTAAAAGGTTTTATAATCCAGGCAGGTCAAACCAGGGACCCGGTAATGTAAAAAACAATATATTCTCTGAACCAATGCTTAGTAGTAACCTTCGATAATAACAATCTTTCATTTAATTAGGCTAACTAAGTGTTAACTTATCGTATATTTTTCAATTCACTACCTTTACAAAGTATTGCCACTACAGCGAGAGATGTTTGTTTAGCCTACTGACAATTTTAAGCTTTTTTAGCGACAACTGTAAATATGATGTCTTAATTTGTTTCTTTTTAGCCATAAATAAAATAAACTATAGAAATTTTGGAAATAAAGAATATTTAGGTATTTTTTTTGTTCACTTTTTCTGCATGTTACATCGATACGCCAGTAGATGCCGAGAAGTGACTAGTGAGTCATGCATGGAATCATTCACTCAACCGATTCGTTCAAAACACTGATTCATTCAGGTAGGCCTACGCCATTCTTCTTCTATATGGCTTCGTTTGCAATTATTGTCGTTGTTCGTTTCGGAGGAAGTAACTGACAATACCAATATAGTGTCTAAAATGTTTATTAAACTGTAAAAACAATGTTCCACTCACTAGATATGTTTGTTTAACAATGTTCTGAGAGTTTATTCGACTCAAAAAGACATAATTATACACTTAACAGAGCAACTGTCCTGAAGCCAAGACAAGGTAATAGGGAAAGTAAAACTATAATAAAAAGTTTCCTCACCTGGCTACCCGTTTTCTCAGACACCTGTCAGTATTTGACAGAGACAATTAAATGTAGAAGACCAAGTCCATGTCACACTCATCTTGAGTCCTGTCAATTAATGCCCCTCGCAGGTCCAAATACATCCAGTCACAGGTGTGATTCCTCCAGAGTGAGTCTCAACATCTTACAGCAGTGCGGATGAATAACACAGGGGGAGGAAAGAATGGCCACCTCCTTCAGCCGCCTCTTTCACTGGCAATAAATGTTATGGGAGAGGAGGATGGTGGGTGGATTCTCATCTTTTCACCAGTCAGCACAGCTCCATCTCCCAGCAACGGCGCTGCACACATGCCTGGAATGCAGAAAAGCCTGAGGTTTGGGGGACATAGTATAAGCTGACATTGATAAACATAATCAGTACAATTTCAACAAAATTCAGGATTAGCCAAACTTGTTTTTTTTTTATTATTATTATTTTTGTAAACAGTGTTGCCTATTCAGAGTATGTAAATTAAGAAGAGCACAAAGTTTGCATAGAAAGCTTCTAGCTAAATTCTTATTTCCCTGACACGGTCTAATGTCTTTCATTGCATTGAAAACAGCCTCTGCTTAAACTGCTGGTGTGGAGTGGACACATTGTGTGGCCACGAGTTTCCAAGCAACCAAGCTCTCTTCACATGAGGCATTCGTGTAAGGGCTTCTAGCTAGAGACAAGAAAAAAACTTTGAAAACTCCCTAGTGTAAACAGTTTAGCACTTACAAAACTATTCGTAAAAAGCCATAAAGATATGGTGATAATGACAATAACTGTGGTTATTATACTTAGAAAATATTCCCACTCTCGACTAACTTGGAGAGGACCAGAATCTTTTTTCGATTTTGCAGTCATAAAACTAAGAGCAGTGCACTTACTTACCCCAGTACTCCATCTAGTGGAAAACCTACTATTTCAAACCCAATAGATTGTTAACATTACATTTACGCATTTGGGAGAGAAGACAAGACAGTTGATATCAAGGAACTTTTATTGATTTTGCTGTAACAGTGTCCACTGGCATTGGCATTTCATTAAAATTCAACCGAACAGGGTCTCAAAGAAGAAAGAAAATACAGAAAGAAAATTTCCGCCACATTAGATTAAACACTTCCATCCAAAATCCCCTTGTACAGACCTAAATGCACTCCTGATAGTTTCTGAAAGCTCAGAAAAGCAAGCAATGATCTTAAAAAAAAAAAAAAAGAATCTTAAATTCCATATTGCAGAGTTGAAACAAGCTGGGATTTGACAACTCAAAATATATTACAGAAAGACAGTATAATATACGTTTTCTTTACTGTATAATCATTACTTGAGTTGAATGAGACTTTTACAAAACTCTATGATTTAAACCGTAAAAACTGCATCGAATTGTCAAGGATTTCAACAGTATTGAATACATGATAGAAAGTTTAACTGCGACTGATCAAAGTGGAACCTAAACTACATTTCTTTTTTAACCAATCCGTTACTATTACAAACATTACACTGCTGTATGTGCAAATATTCCCTTCTCTGTAAGAAAGTAAATGGTAACAAACATGTTTCCAAAAATATAAATGTTTTCTAGTAAAACATAGCAATATCTTGATCGTATCTTCAACTTGAAAGTTGGAAAGAAATTAAACAAAGGAACTGATCCTGTTTTAAGGTATGAAAGAGAACTGTATTTGACACAGTTGGTCAGCTTAGTAAAGTAAGGCATGGATACAGAGGCTAAGCACAAAAGATTACTGTGTGAGAGAGAAAAAAACATTGTGCTTCAGAGAATGACTGGAGCACAGAAAGAGACAATTAAAGTCATGAGAATAAGTCTATCCTCTTTAAGTCACTTTGTTTAGATAATCTCTTTGCCCTAATTCTCTTTCAATATAAATCAAACCTTCTTGTCTTCCACAAGATTTGGCATCCCCCCCAAAAACAACATAGATTAAATGATGTGACATGTGAACTAAAGACCAAGAAGCAGACCAAAAGAACATGCATAGAAGAGCATTGGAAAGATTCAATTCAAGTTTTCAAGATGTTTGATCTGAATCAATATATGAATGTCTGGTCACTACAAAACTATCCATCTTTTGAAGAATCCCATTGTGTGGATGTGAGACAGACAATAGTAAAATGACCAAAACAACACTTCAGTGCTTTCCTACCTTTGATTTGATTATCAAGGTTTGTAAGGATTGTAGTAATCGGAAAGTGACAGCAGATGTCACAGCTGATATTAATGTTAAATATTCATAGAGCGATTTCTCCCATTAAAGGAGCCACAAGAAGAAGTGTACTAGGTACATAAAGCAGGGGCTTCCTGAGACCAGCTCTCTTTTTGTCATCATTTCATAAAGTATATTAAACCCTTGATCCAGTCCAACCGTACTGTGTATTGTCTACCCTTTATTAGCTGATGTTGACGCTTCAAATATCTCGCCATGCAAAGGTAAGTACAAACCATACTGTTAGCAGGACAAATCTAAATGGAAACACTCTCTCTGAAATAAAGTAACAGTTTGGTCTTTCAAAATTGTGATCAGATGTTATTTACCTTAAGGAAATTTGAAGAATTTGCTCATGCTCATTTTGGGGTAGTTCTAAATAAGATTCGAAAATCTGTATACATTTGTTTGGCATCATAATCATGTAAAAATGAAATGAGTGATTAAGGACTGTGGTTTCAATGTTTTTTTTACAATTCTATAAAACTATAGTTTTGAGCTGAACAAATACCTGAAAAAAGTTTAACGTTTTAACTGATATAAAAGACATTTTTTAATCAAAATTATGATGATAATCCTGCTGTCCCTTTAAAATTAAAATGGTAACTGTAACCAGTAACTTTTTTGGATGGAAAACATATACATAGTACATTTGGTAGGACATGAACATGCAGATAACTGCATTTCCTGACTTGACAGCAAATCAGTTTACATGTGAACAAAGTAGACTGCATTAAGGGTATCAACTGGAACAGTGTACTCTGAACTATCAGCAGTGAATCTCTGATGGCTGATTTGTTTATGAGTCTATTACAGTAAATTGGTAATATATCCGGGCACTTACAATAAAGAATTTTTCCTTTGCTCTGTGACTTAAGCAAGTACAGCTGATGGCAGCCCTGAAACCTAAACAAAAAGAGCTCATCAGGCTAACAGGTTAACTTTCAGGGCTCCACTGGGCAAACTTAAGTCATTTATCCCCATGATTATGCAGCACCCAGCAGCTAGAGAGAGCTAAAGGAGAGGGCTCACAACATTGGTTTCTACAAGCCAAGCCACTGGCACACAGGTACCAGGTAATAAATCGTTCTTCACGTTGGTTCCTCTTCTTTAGATGTCCATCTCAAACTGAGCATCTTCAGCTGGAACACAAAAGAAAAAACTCATGTGCGCCATGCATGACCACTAGTAAAGTAAAAGAGAACGGTGTGAGTTAACACTATAGTCTAAACCTCCAACCAGATACATTACTGTTTGTGTATATTAGATGAGCGAGCACAAAGCAGGGAGGTTCCAGTGGAAACAGTTCCAGTTCGGTCGGTTTTAAAGACAAACCTTGGGCTGGTTTGGCATCATGGTTGTTGATGTTGTTAGCTTCATTCCTCTTGAGTTCATTGAGGATGTTCTTGCCCGTCACTCCTGGGATAACCGGCAGGTGTGCTGGTGGGGTCTGGGCGATGGGCGAGTTACGCCGGTCTAATAGGAACTTACGATCATAGATTATTCGGGTTCCTGCATTGTCACAACAAACATACTGTTATAATCAAGTTTTATTGCATAACTACCAGCCTTGCACAACAATCCTAAAGAAATATGACATCTTTCCTTTTTGTGTTACTCAGAAGTAAGCAAGTCATATAGGAATGAAAACATGATGATCATATCCCTGAAAAGGGTGAGATAGACAATAATATGACACATTGTCGTGCCTTTGAAATCACAAAGATGATTAATGTGAATAATTTAGTATGAATGGTCACAAAAAATAAGAATATAGTCCTTTGAGCATAATTTTAACTCAATGCAAATGAGATGCACAACGATATTTTTGTTGATCAAAAACAATCAAGATTACACTTGGTATGGTGTATACTGCTATATATGTAGCGCTCTCTGTATGAATTTAGTGGAATGCATTTCTTTGTTCTGTCCATCAGTCACTGCGGACCAATCAGGTTGATCAGAGCGAAGCACAGGCGGCGCTGTTTTTGTTTTGAACTACATGTCTGTGCCTCAAAAGCCCAGTCAGTTGCCTTCCTAGGCAACATCTTTGGCCATCGCCGATTTAAAAGTCTAAACATTTTGAGCATTCCCAGACTGTCTACATGCAAAATAACTCAACTTTCCTACGAGCCCCAAAATTACTGTCTAAGCAGCAGGCAGAACAGAACGTTTTGAGTCAGAGCCTTTTATGTGGTTACTGCTTCCTGGCCAACACAGGCCACCCTCTAACATTTGACTGTCTCCATGTAAACAACAAGCAAACGGCTGCAGATATCAGCCGGGACATAAAGCACACGTCTCAGGCGGGTTATTACCTCCAGGGGTGGTGGAGAATAAAGTGCCTCCAGGAGTGGTGCAATAGTCGTGAGGTAGCTGCGTTGAGTCGTTGATCAGCACCGTCCTGGTCGGGATGGTCCTGCTCTCGCTAAACTGACGACTGGACGACATTGCACTTGCTTCGGGTGCTAATCAGAGTCGAGCGATACGTTTTCCCGATACAAGGTAAAAAACCTCGGACCCTTTCCCCTCGTTTCTTATCGCTTTCCCAAGGCTTTCTTTACGTTCAGCTCGTCCTCCCAGCCGTCAGCACCGTCCCCTCCCTCCGCCAGGCAGGAAGCGAAGAGCGCTGGAAGGATATGACGTCAAGGGAGAATCACATCGCATGAACGCCAACGGCAATATATATATATATATATATATATATATATATATATATATATATATATATATATATATATATATATATATATATATATATATATATATATATATATATATATATATATATATATAAAAAAAGAATAGAGTTAGATTGGGAGATCACTTTGCTGACCAGCTAAACCAGGTGAACATCAACTTGACCAGGCTGTGAACTTTGGCTGTTTTAGGTGCAAATATACAAAACTCTCTTTTAACACATTAAACGTTACTGTTACAAATGTGATACTTCAATTTGTTTACAAGGTCTTTTTTATTTTTTTAGCATTGACCATCATTACCGATTCACAAATCAGATGTACAAAGACTTCGCTCTTATGCGCAATTCAGCCTCTGCGCAAGTGCGCATGCGCGGTTTCCTTGAGCTGAGCTGCTGTCCGTTTAACACAGTAACACACAGCCTACCGGAATCAATACACAACAGCGCACAATATGAGTTTCTCCGTTGAAGAAAGAGGAAACCCTAACACTTTGAGCTATAGGCTCTATTTTAGTAAGTATGAATTCTGTTCTTGAGGGATTGATGATGAGTTTGTACGGTCTGGGAGGTTCATTGAATTAAGATGAAAGGGGTTGGGCCGCAAGTCCCACGTGTCGCTTTTCCTCGCGTCATTTATGACCTAAACTTGACAGTAAATGTGATGAATTTACGATATTAAATTGATATTCAGCCCAAAAACTTTATTTTAATGGCTAATTATTTGTGGGTTTATTTAAAGTTCTTCTTAGTTCAAATTAACTAAACCTGTTGTACCGGTTACATAGTAAAAACTGAAAGTACCAAATGGACGACAATGTAGTATTATCAGAGAATGCTCTGGTATTATTTAGCTAGGTATTATTACCAAACAGAGCAACATCGCCAACTTTTTTAACTTACGTCCATTTAAAATGTGTAAATGAAGGACGGGCAAATACAGGGTCATTGCATCATATTGTCACGGTATATAATTTTTGGTCCTGTTATATTGTCTGCTCTGTTTAAAATGACCTCAGATAAATAAAATATGAAGTATATTAACCAGATATACTGCATGAGTCTCCTCAAAATTTTGTTTATTTTAGTTGCCAACTGTGCATTAGACATCTCATCTCACCCTTATCAGCAGCATGACATCATCACCTCTCTCTTGACAAGTAACATGATTGACAGATTATATGCACACTGGGGAAAACCATTAACATCATTATCATTAACACATTGAATTTACTCATTTAAGTTTCAAAGTCAACCCCATATGACTTTAGAATACCCAGTTCAGAATATCTGAGCTTCTTGCTTTCATGCCATGAACAGTGGTGTGATAAATTCTCTGTTTTCAGTTCTTTGATGTTCCGACTTGTCTTGTTTAAAAAATGCATAAAACAAACTCATTTAATAAAGTTTAAATGCCTGGGCTTGACCAGAACATATTTATGAAAAAGTCTGGTATAGGCTACCCTTTTGTAGAAATATTTTCCTAAATTATCACGCAGGCATGTTCATTTTTAATGGTTACAGTACCCAAAAGGTACTGCATAACAGTGCCTATATCTGTTTAAAGTGAGTCTATTTCGGTGTACCTTTATAATTACTAAAAATCTTGCCATGAAATTCTAGCTTGACAGCTGTGGTCACTTTTGTGTGAGTGAAAAAAAGAGCAGTTTGGACATTCTACTCAAGTAAACGATGCAGATTTGGGGAAGGGTTTAAAGATTTCAACTCATTACATGTTATTCATGATGGACATTGTGGCGAATAAGAGCTAGGTTATATTATTATTTTTATTTGTGCCTTAATATGGAAAACTGTTGCTCTGCAAGGTTTTAAGTGATCAGATGTACAAGTAATTGAAGCACACAACTGCTTTTGAAATATTTATTTGTATAGAAATATTATGTAACATATATAACTTTCTTTTTTTAACAGAGAATTCAGATGGAAAGTATATTTCACCATTTCATGACATACCCATGTGTGCAGATGAAGCTCAGGTACAGAATTTTAATGTTCCTAGTTTCTCTTGTCAGGGTCACAGTGTTGATAACCACCTCTCTTGTGGGAGCCCTTTGGCAGTGTATGGTCATTTCACAATCCAGCACAGCACAGTGTATATCAGCTCTTTATCGGGTGAAGGGACTTAGTCTGTGAGAGGAATGATCTTTACCCTGTGTCATTTAAAATCGTTCAATACTTTGGACTGGTCTGATATGTGTGTCAAACTTTATGATTAATCATTCTCATGGCTTTACATTTTTTTGTATTCGTTTTAGAAATATGACTGTTAATATGAATTTTTACTTACTTGCTTATTTTTTTATTAATAAATATTTTTTATTTACTCTGTAGAACATTTTCCACGTGGTTGTTGAAGTACCAAGATGGACAAATGCAAAAATGGAGGTATGAGCAACAGTAACAGTACAAAACTACACCACTTGCAATATATAACACAATAAAACAATAGAATAGAGGACTTTGCTACAGGCCTCATATTTTGTAAGGCCATATATTTATACACCTAAAACATTAATGGATACAATACATTTACAAGGATTAAGTGGTATTGAAAAGAAGACACTTTTAACCTACATTTGTGGTGTATTACATTCAGACAAAATCATCAACCAGTTGGTGTCTGCATGAATTTTCTGCAAGTCAACATTATGCTTTACTTTTCAGATTGCTACAAAAGACCCTCTGAACCCCATAAAGCAAGATGTGAAGAAGGGCAATTTGCGCTATGTGGCCAATGTTTTCCCACACAAAGGGTATATTTGGAATTATGGAGCAATCCCTCAAGTAAGCCTTTTAAATCAGCACTGATCATGCATTACATAGAATAAAACAGACCTTTTAATTTTAATATTTTAAAATGTAATTTATTCCTGTGATGGTGAAGCTGAATTTTCAGCATCATTACTCCTGTCTTCAGGGTCACATGATCCTTCCGAAATCATTCTAATATACTGATTTGGTGCTCAAGAAACATTTCTTATTATTATCAATGTTAAAAACAGTTGTGCTGCTTAATATTTTTGTGGAAACCATGATACATTTGTGGAAACCATGATACACTTTTTATAATGGTAGATTTTACAACAACTTTCTTTAAATATTTTTTGACAGACTTGGGAAGACCCCGGGCACAAAGACAATGACACAGGGTGTTGTGGTGACAATGACCCGATCGATGTCTGTGAAATTGGTAGCAAGGTATTGATATTGGTGTTTGTCATTTGAAGTATTGAATGAAATTAAGCCATATTTATAATGAAGCAAGTTATCGTTGTGCAGTTCAAGTTGGATTAGATGAACAAACTCCACAATTCTTGATCTTTGCAGGTGTGCAATCGTGGAGATGTTATCAAAGTGAAAGTCCTGGGTGTCTTAGCAATGATTGATGAAGGTGAAACTGACTGGAAAGTTATTGCAATCAACGTTGATGACCCTGAGGCAAAGGACTTGAACAGTAAATAACACTCGTTGCTTTCCTGTTGACTCAGAAGAGAGAGGCAGATATGTGATTGTTTTCATTCATCTGATGTGAAATATAGGCATTAGTGATGTGAGGAGACTCAAGCCAGGTTACCTTGAGGCCACAGTTGACTGGTTCAGGAGGTACAAGGTACCTGATGGGAAACCTGAAAACAAGTTTGCATTCAACGGAGAGTTCAAAGACAAGGTATGTTGCTCATAAAAAGTGCTGTACACAAGCTTTCATTTGTGATTGGTCATAAGCCTTTACAGCACTAAAAATATGCTACATTTATTCCAGGACTTTGCCATTGAGACAATCAAAACCACCCATGGCTTCTGGAAGGCACTTATCTCACAACAAACCAATGCTGGAGAACTAAACTGGTAAGGGAATCTTTCTTTAGCAGTCTGCATTTGTTTGCTCATTTGCATAGTTTTTTATTTCAGCTCTGACTGTTTGCGCTTTCATTCACAATCACTACAGATAACCTATTAAGGTGTAGACATGGTTTCCAACTGAAATAAAAAAATGTAATATAAAAATAAAGAGAATTTTCTGTGCTTTGTATTCTTTTCACCTCAAGTCATTGCTTTTTTTTTCTCTTTCACTGTGCAGCAAGAACACGTGTGTCTCAGAGGGAGACAGTCCATTCTGCTGTTCGGCAGATGAAGCCAAAGCAGTTGTTAATGGAGTATGAACAATTTTTTTATTTGAATTCGCAGGACTATTCACTATTTAATAAATTGTATATATTAGATATATTACTTTTATAGTGGCGCCTTATGTCAAATAATTATTTACTAATGTGGTATTTGAAACACATTTTTCTTTCTATCATCAGTCATGCCCATGTGGAGATACCAGTCCAGTTCCAAGCTCAGGTTTGAATTTTTTTTTTTTTTTTTCAGTGACAAATCAGATCTCTTAAAAATCTGTCATTTTGGTTTTATATTATATATACAGGTCCTGCTCAAAAAATTAGCATATTGTGATAGTCCATTATTTTCCGCAATGTAATGATAAAAATTAAACTTTCATATATTTTAGATTCATTGCACACCAACTGAAATATTTCAGGTCTTTTATTGTTTTAATACTGATGATTTTGGCATACAGCTCATGAAAACCCAAAATTCCTATCTCAAAAAATTAGCATATCATGAAAAGGGTCTCTAAACGAGCTATTAACCTAATCATCTGAATCAACTAATTAACCCCAAACACCTGCAAAAGATTCCTGAGGCTTTTAAAAACTCCCAGCCTGTTTCATTACTCAAAACCGCAATCATGGGTAAGACTGCTGTCCAGAAGGCCATCATTGACACCCTCAAGCAAGAGGGTAAGACAGAAAGAAATTTCTGAACAAATAGGCTGTTCCCAGAGTGCTGTATCAAGGCACCTCAGTGGGAAGTCTGTGGGAAGGAAAAAGTGTGGCAAAAAACGCTGCACAATGAGAAAAGGTGACCGGACCCTGAGGAAGATTGTGGAGAAGGACCGATTCCAGACCTTGGGGGACCTGAGAAACATCCAGAGCCACCGTGCACAGGCGTGTGCAGGAAATGGTCTACAGGTGCCGCATTCCCCAGGTCAAGCCACTTTTGAACCAGAAACAGCGGCAGAAGCGCCTGACCTGGGCTACAGAGAAGCAGCACTGGACTGTTGCTCAGTTTTGCATGTCATTCGGAAATCAAGGTGCCAGAGTCTGGAGGAAGACTGGGGAGAAGGAAATGCCAAAATGCCTGAAGTCCAGTGTCAAGTACCCACAGTCAGTGATGGTCTGGGGTGCCATGTCAGCTGCTGGTGTTGGTGCACTGTGTTTTATCAAGGGCAGGGTCAATGCAGCTAGCTATCAGGAGATTTTGGAGCACTTCATGCTTCCATCTGCTGAAAAGCTTTATGGAGGTGAAGATTTCATTTTTCAGCACGACCTGGCACCTGCTCACAGTGCCAAAACCACTGGTAAATGGTTCACTGACCATGGTATTACTGTGCTCAATTGGCCTGCCAACTCTCCTGACCTGAACCCCATAGAGAATCTGTGGGATATTGTGAAGAGAAAGTTGAGAGACGCAAGACCCAACACTCTGGATGAGCTTAAGGCCGCTATCGAAGCATCCTGGGCCTCCATAACACCTCAGCAGTGCCACAGGCTGATTGCCTTCATGCCACGCCGCATTGAAGCAGTCATTTCTGCAAAAGGATTCCCGACCAAGTATTGAGTGCATAACTGAACATAATTATTTGAAGGTTGACTTTTTTTGTATTAAAAACACTTATTTTATTGGTCGGATGAAATATGCTAATTTTTTTAGATAGGAATTTTGGGGTTTCATGAGCTGTATGCCAAAATCATCAGAATTAAAACAATAAAAGACCTAAAATATTTCAGTTGGTGTGCAATGAATCTAAAATATATGAAAGTTTAATTTTTATCATTACATTATGGAAAATAATGAACTTTATCACAATATGCTAATTTTTTGAGAAGGAGCTGCATATATATATATATATATATATATATAATTTTTTTTTTTTTTTTTTACTGTTGTGTATCCATTCAATTTGAACAGTTTTTCTTTTAAGACATGCCATATATAAATTGTTTTGTTTTATTTTTCAGTTGACAAGTGGTTCTATTATGCGAAGAACTAAAGAACAGAACACTGTAAATGGACCAGTCTGATCATGTTTAGAATTTGTATGTCAGTTTCAGTTTACTTTAGAATAATGGATATTAAAAGAAAACATAAGCACATAACACCTTATCTGGAGACTGAATCTCAAATGAACAGTTAAAGGAGCTAACCAATGACTTGCTAAGTTATGTTAATCTTGATAATGGTTAGATATTCTGTGTAACAGATACTAAAGTTAGAGATACTAAACACTCTAAAGATACTAAACAGTCTGGTCAAACTCAGGTACTGTATGCTGTTGAACAAATGCTTAATAAACCTTTTCTCATATGACACTTCTGCTTCTTTGTTAATGGAGTTTGTTCTGTATTAGATTGCCTTTACATAAATTCAATTTTAACAATAATAATTGCAATATTTAAATATAATGGTCACGAATAAGAGTGAGCTGATGTTTAAGGATCCATAATGCCGGTGTGGGCAAAATGCTGGTCCTTTAGAGCACCTACATCCAAAACGCATCACTTTTAAAGGGATAGTTCACCCAAAAGTGAAACTTCTGTCAACTCACTCATGTTGTTCCAAATCCATATGACTTTTGTTCTGTGCAACAACAGATGTTAGTCAAAATATTAGGGGCTGACAGCCTCGGTCATCATTCACTCTCATTGCAGAATTATTATTTTTCTTCCATACAGTGAAAGTCAATGGTGACTGGATATATTACAATCTTATGTTTGTTATTTTAAATTGTAATCACAATTTAACTGTTTTTACTGTATTTTTGATCAATGCAGTACTAGTGAGCATAGGAGACTTTTTTTTTTTTTTACTGAAAATTTCTTACCAACCCCAAACTTTTAATATAAACCTTAGCTGTCAGACCACACAGCCACAGCTGCAGTAGGTCAGTCAAAATTTAGCAAGCAGATGACAACGCATTAACCTACAATCGATCTGAGACCACCCTATGCAGCTACGCAGTTCCGGTTAAACGTCAAATTCGGGCTGTTGAGCAGAAGAACATAGACCGGACTGACTGGTCTACAAGCGGACACTTTCAGGTACTGGCACGAATGTTTCCCTAGTGAAACGCATTGTCTTATGTGTTATTTACAAATGACGCAACATTACAAACGACGCAACTGTTAAAATATTTGTCACTGGATGTTTAATAGACACATTTCAACACCAAAAGCCAGGTTTTAAGATTTTATTTATAACGTCATCCTGAGCATGTTTACCTTCACAATGCTCTGTTTTGCTCATTCAACCAGCATCTACCTTGCTGGCTGTTGTTTTCAGTGTGTTTTAAAGCGCCTCCACTGTTTTGACGAGTTTCTAGAAAACGCGCGCTAAACATTTGGGCTGTGTATACTGCGATGGTTACAGTTAGGGAACAATAATATGCGGTTGCATATGTATTTAACTTAAATAACAACATTATTAATGTATATAAATGGTCTTGGAGTTGAGCGCTAGTTGCTGTCATTTGAGTGACAGCTATGTCTGTGTGCTATATCCATGGCGTCAAGTGACAAGGTCTCACACTAGAAATAGTTTCTTGCTCATGTTGTGTGCAGTGTGCGGGATATTGGTTATTAGCTATGAGGGGGTTTATGTCTCTTTTCTTAAATGCTTTCTTGAAGGCAAAATGTTAACTTGGGCCATTTTGTAACTACCGGTTGTTTTTCACATGCTTGCAGTAGATTTAGGTAAAGAGCTTATTTTGGAGTTAGCAGAGCCCATTGAAAAGTCTTGGATCTTGCAGTACTCCATTGGGACAAATCTCTCATTCTGTTGCTATTTCATTCCAGGGAGCAGGCCACGAAAATGTCTTTCATATTTGATTGGCTGTACAGAGGATTCAACAGTGTGTTACAATTATTAGGTAAAGTATCCGCAGATATTGAAATACAGATGAGCACAAATCATCATGTAACTGTTTTTTTGTTTTCATACTCATATTTCCTTGTAGGACTCTATAAAAAGTCGGGGAAATTAGTTTTTCTTGGATTAGACAATGCCGGAAAAACAACATTATTGCACATGCTTAAAGATGATCGACTTGGGCAGCATGTTCCAACACTTCACCCTAGTAAGTAGTAAAGTGCCACATATTTTACTGTTTTAATACGAGGTGTATGGGCCATTCTACAGAATTGGTTCAAAGTGGGAGTTTGAAACGTCTTGGCAAATTTTTTTTATTTTTTTCACAAATATTGTAAGTATGCAAATTGTATAATATCCAAGGTACACATTTCTAATAATTGTGCAGTTAATTATCATATTGTATTTTCAGAAAGTTTTGGAATATTTTTCCTCTCCCCAAATTTGTCACTACCGAAACACAATAATAAATAATTTAATAAGAAGGCTTATATTGGCCTATTAATATCTACCTTGTAAATATATTTTTTGCTATTTAAAAAATAAGTTTTCACAGGTAAATCAATAACAATAACAATTTTAACAATATTTCAAGTGTAATTTATAAGAATTGTTGTATTTTGAATCCAATCTTTCTTTGTAAAAGGCATTAAGTTAATCATACTGATTTCAAAGTTAAGGATTCATTACACTAACACTATAATAACATCTTAGTTGATAATTCAATACTTTATTTTAGACAAAACATGTTTCGGTCGTGACGGCACATTTGCTATGACAGTAATGTTTTGGTAGCGAACACATCACTTTACAGAATTTTAACTCGCATACTAAAACACTACTAAAACATACTAAGATACTAATGATTTGCATAACTGTACTAAAATTTTGTCTGTTTCCCCCAAATAAATGATTATGTGTTCCCTTTTGTCACTACCAAAACACTGATGACATGTTTCGGTTATGACTGTTTCGGTAGGGACAATTTTAGATACTTTTGACTTGGAAAGATGCCAATCAGCACATGAACTAGCACAGTTCTGAAAAGTTGTACACACACAAAAACTACATTTTATTGAAAAACATTAAAAAAAACATGATGTCACAATCGAAACTTCACCACATGTTTTGGTAGTGACAAATTTGAGATACTTTTGACCCTAACTCAAAGATGATAACCAGCACAAGGTTACCTAGCACAGTTCTGAACAGTTGTACACACAAAATTTTATGGAATAACACCCAAAAAAGTTTGCTTAATTACAGAAAAAGGTGTTTGGTAGTGACGTTCCTTAAAGTTACACACAGATTTTCAGATTTTTGAACACGTTTCCCTCAACATGATGGTACCTATCTACAATGAAAGAGAGGCTATGAGAGAGAGGGACACAGGAATATTTCCTGATCAAAAATGTTGGGGTGTGGTTAAAATCAGTCTCAGCCAATGGACTAAAACACACACTGTTTCGGTAGTGACATGAAAATGCGGGACACATTTTTTTTACATAAAGCTTCACAATTTAAAAATAAAATATAAAATAAATGGTTTTTTAACTTCACGTTTTAAAAGATATTTTTAAAAACAACAATAAAACAAAAAACAAAAAAACATTTCAATATCATTTTCACAAGTTGAAATTTAGGGATAAGGGTTCGGGACAGCCCCCTCCCAATTGAAAGTACCCAATAAATTATGATTTTATATTTATTAAGCTTACTGATATTTTAAATATTATTGTGGGATTCAATAGGTAATAGAAGGGTCTTTGTAAACATCTAAAATTTGAATACTTAAATTGTTTTTAAATGTGTTTTTTGTTTGTGGGACAGCAGTTTACACCAATTCTGAGTGAAAAAAAAAACAGGATTTCTTATTCTTACAAGCTAAATTCTACATTTGTTGGAGCAAACATTGTGCATCACTGTATCTTGTCCTATCTGCTATAGCATCTGAGGAACTGTCTATTGCTGGGATGACTTTCACAACATTTGACCTGGGTGGTCATGCTCAAGGTAAATATAGAATTTAATAATACATGATTAATAAATCTGGAGTTTAAATTTAAGAGTTAAAATGTATGCTATAATTAGACAAAAGTAGATTTCTAAAACAAAATAATATATATACCGGTGTATATATATATATATATATATATATATTAGAAATTTTAGAAGAACCAGACATGATGCAAATGGATCTTGTCTATTCTTAATTCTCAGCAAGAAGAGTTTGGAAGAATTATCTTCCAGCAATAAATGGGATAGTGTATCTTGTTGACTGTGCTGACCACGAACGACTACTAGAAGCCAAAATTGAGTTAGATGTAAGTCTACTTTTCCTTTTTTATATCTATATAATCAAGGGTTTCGTTAAGACAAGATAGGCCCTGTTTACATTTAGGGTGTGTTTTGGTCTACCGGATCCCAAGTAGACGAGGGAGGCACATTCTTGTTTACACCTCGTGTTTTAATCCGTCTCTTCTGTTCACTTTCAACCACTTCTGTCCTGATTCCTTTGAGGGAAGGGTCTATGAGCGGGTAAATGTATGGCCCTTTTCAGATCTTTCGATCTAATGGACGAAATAAGAGCATGCAATTTACATATGAATGTGAAAGGATATGACAAAAAAACATACAGAAAGCAGCAGCTTTCGTTTCTGCTCTGACAGCTGCAAGACCGCGCCGAACGCCGTGAGTGAGTGTTAGAAATCAGGGATGGTGAGAGAACATTCTGCTCGGTACGTTTTTCAAACCAAATTGGGGTCTCCAGCCGACCAAGTTTAAATCCCGTCTGTCGCTACCGCACTTCCCATAATGTTTACCCATTAAGTCATTAGGCACATTCGAAGACATTCGACCACAGCTTTTACATTATGAAAGCAAATCACTACCTCTGGAAGTGGTCGAAAGTGGACAAGCTCAAAATGTTTTAGACCCCGTTTACACCTTGATTTAGCGCCACCCACTTTTCCGATCGACCAAAACGCGTCTTAATACCAGGTGTAAACAGGGCCATTGTTACATATCAAGTTTAACCTTGAACACATCAAAAGGAGTGACACAGCACTGACTTCAATGCGCTTATTTAAATTTATTCCCTATTCCACCAATCAAAACAGCCATATATTTGAATAATAATGATTGCTCTTTATATCATAGGCCCTCTTAACCGATGAAACCATCTCCAATGTGCCAATCCTTATTTTGGGGAATAAAATTGACCGGCCAGAAGCAATTAGTGAGGATGGGCTGAGAGGAATGTTTGGTCTTTATGGACACACCACTGGAAAGGTAGGTCAATGAGGGAATGTATTTAAAACATGACGTTGCACAGTTTGGTATGTAATATGCAATAAAATGTTTAACGTTTTCTGAAGGAATACAAGGTCTTATTTTGTCTTTGTGTCCACACAGGGGAATGCATCACTGAAAGAACTCAACCTGAGGCCAATGGAAGTCTTTATGTGCAGTGTGTTGAAGAGACAAGGATATGGTGAAGGTTTTCGATGGCTATCTCAGTATATTGATTAACATATTTAATGTGGTTATTAATTCATAACTCGTGTATCCTTATTTATTAATTGATTATTTATCTTGTAATGAAACTAGGTAACCAGGGGTGTTATACACAGTATATATAAATATTATCTGAGCCTATGAAATCTAGTGTGGCGATAGGTCAGATCAGTATCTGAGATATGCATTTAATAATAAGCTACAGTAGCAATTACTTACACTTTTATTTCTTAAAGACATAATGTATGCTGTTTACTTTTCTAAAAGGGTTAAAGATACAGCATCCTTAAACAGTTGACTGAGCTGGGTTATTTTAAGGATTGGCATCCTGTAACAAAACACATTTTTTTACACGGGTGTCAGTTTTATACCCTGCCAAAAAGTTAAACATAACTGTACATTTGAATCACTTCTAATCAGGTGAATATTACTTGTGCTGTGAATTTCTGATGTCACGTTCAGTAGATGATACAGAATCAGTGTTTTTGTTTTCATATTGCATTACCTCAGTGCCTTAAATGCTGGTGGCTTTTCCTAGTGCTGTATTCCCCACCTGTTCAAAGGAAATACTTCTGAAGGTGTGGACTGCCAATGTATGCTTGCTTATCAAATTTGGCAGATATTTACAATGACATATTTATATAAAGGTTTGATTTGTATGTAGTATTTTGATACGTGCTGATGAATTACTCTTCATTTTCAGTGGTGTTTCTACATTAGCCTGTTTCAACACTAAACTACCTGAATAATTGTGCAATGAGTACTTTTTGACTGTCAGCTGTGCTTTATTTGCAGTTATGGCATGAGAGTACATAGGCTTTTTTAGTTCTTGCCTGAGCAATAGAAAAATCTGTCATATTACTAGGTCACATTTACCCCTATTTGTAAGTAGGCTTATGTGAAAGGATTGGGATTTTAGGGATTTTGGGCTAATTATGTGTGTGCCACTTGTATCACCTTGTAACATTTATGCAGTGAAGTAGGCAACACAAATAAAATATTTAGAATTTTCCATTTGTACTTTGCTCTTTTCCAAAAAACATATAGATATGTATAAATCGTAGAAAGCAATTTGAATAAACATTTTAAAGAATAAAACATTTACATCCTAGTCGAGTCAAATCAAAAAAGCTATTTAGCAATACTGAATCTATACCTTTGTTGCGTGGGATAAGTGAGCCTCAGAATGCACACAAACATCCGTAATGTAAACTCAACAAATTCGTCAACGAAACTTTCTGTCTAACTCAACTTGTAAAGGAGGACAAAGTACACAACTTCCTTACTTGAGTGAAAGTACAGATACTACTGGTCCATTTTGCCACCAGTGTGTTGATTAGTGTTCAAAAATATGATGGCTGAACTTCACGACAAGTGACCCTAAAAGAGTGATTACTGATAGGCTGTTTGTCACCTGGAAAAATTCTAAAATCACGTTTTAGAGATGAAAAAAAAAAATCATCCCCTGACTGACGTTACTACTACTCAAGGACCTTGACAGAAATGTAGTAGAGTAAAAAGTACGATATTTGTCTTTCAAATGTGGTCAAAGTAAAAAGTTTCCAGAAAAAAAAGAATACTCAAGTTAAGTACAAATACTCAAAAGTGTTCTTAAGTACAGTACTCAACTGAATATACTTTGTTACTGTCCACCTTTAAAGACAGGGACCCCGGCCCATTGTAACATCCTACAAGGTAAAAAAAAAAAAGAAAAAAGGATGGCATCTAGTCGAGAAGACTAGTAGTAATATTCACGTTAATCAGATATTGGTTGTGTCCGAAATCGCCCCTATACCCTCATCAATATCAAATTTATTTCTAGAACACATTTCCAGTAGTGGGATTGAATGTGAGATTGAATGAGTGCACTCAGTTACATCCACAATGGTTTCGGACACCGAAATGGCTGTTCCCTCAAATAGTGCCCTATTTAAAGTCTCTATGAAAAGTTTTTTGGCTTTTAGTATGAATGCGTTAGCCTTACTGTTATCTATAAACATGCTCCAAAGCAATGACAAAATGTCAGAATCCAACATCAGTCGGGTTCTGACGTCAACCCATTTCCAACCAAAATGCAACTCCTGCAACCAAAATCATCTCCTGGCTGACATTACTTTCTACTCAAGTACCTTGACAGAATTGTAGTGGAGTAAAACGTACGATATTTGTCTTTCAAATGTAGTGAAGTTAAAGTAAAATGTTTCCAGAGAAAAATATTTAGTAAGTACAGATACTCAAAAGTGTACTTTAGTACAGCACTCTCAAGTAAATGTACTTTACTGTGCACCTCTGAAAATGGCATTTAAGTTTTAGTAGGAATGACACCAAATAACCTGTTTTGATCTTAGATGGAATCAGTATATTTAACAAAAAAATTAATAGCATATACGACAAATTCTTCAGAATAAAAAAATATAATGTTTCTAAAGGCAAATTTTACTGGGCATCTCTTATTGAGCGTATAGACTGGAAAGAAGCCTGGCTGTTACCTCATAAGGATTCTCAAATAGACTAAAGAAGTTCATTTTAAGATGTTACAAAAAATATATCATGTTAATGACACTGTGGCAAAATATATGGATGTTGACAGTTCTTGACACTGATCTATTAATTTTTTCAATGTTAAAAAACTCAAAACATTTGGAGTTTATAGTTTATATAAGCACCTTAATTCTTCCAAATCCTTTCAGTTAAAATATATAATCCGTTACTATACAGGTACCCCAATGAATGACATTGTTCATTTTTTGTTTGTTTTGTTTGGAATATTTTTTATTCATAAGCAAAAATTCTCTAACTCAAAGCCTACTTTCTCACATTTCTTAATTGAAATCGACACATTTCTTAAATCTCTTAGTTTGATTAAAATCAAGAAAAGTGACAGATTCTTGAAATATTCTGATAATTGTTTTGGTAATTCCACTGATGCATAATGTTTTCCTCTTTATATGTTTATAATGTTATCTTTTTGTTTGTGAAACTTTACATTAAGATTTGATGTAATTTAATTCATAGGCTAGACTAGAGGTTCTATCTGTCCTGTCTTTTCTGTTTAGTCTTTGATGCATCATATATTATACATTATATAATTATAATAATACAAAAATAACGGGTTAAACCGGTTCACAGGTCGGAATGAACGATTTATTCTCGAATGGCTTGACCATAGGGGCTTGACCTGGGCTTGACGCTAGAAACGTCTCTTTCGGTCACGACGACGTAAAAGAATCACTGAACCGGTTCTATGAAACGAGTTGTTCGAAAGAGTCGGACGTGGATGAACCAATAGGAGGGCACGCTATCGACGACGTGATCACAATGAACCATACCAGGAAGCGCTGCAGATGGAGAGCTCATGCAACAATATCAAGTCGGCGATAAGCTAATATAACCATTATTACTTTATCAGCCTCCTAGACTTTAACTTTGCAACAATAACCAGTTGCTTTTGTTGCAAACTGTGTTTGTTTAGAATGTGTTTTTTTTTGTAATCTAACTGCCAGCACCGTGGTTGTCATTTGTATCTTGAACTCATTGTAAGATGCAAAAACCCATCTACTATTAGCATAAAACTCAGTCTGACCTATTTTACTGTGGCAGTTTAATATTGTTTTAAATATCTAGCTTTTAAAAATGAAGACTGTGGAAGAGGCATGTTGTGTTGTCACAGTATCCGAGACGCCCCTCGACCTCACATCTGGATCTCAGAATGAAGCAATGAGCTGTAGTGGAGTATTTCTAAATTACCAGTCTGGAATTGTAGTCTGTAGTGGCATGATGTTTTCACGCTTTATAACTGATAGACAATCCACGAAGAAAGACACGAAGATATTGCATAGTGAAAGTTTCACTAAAGAGACAAAAGTGTATGTAGATTACATTCACTTTTGCGCCAACCAATCGTGTGCAATCGAGAGACGCAACACGAGCCGTCAAGAAGCCCAATTGTTAATGATGATCAATTGCGTGGAGTTTCAAGATGCATTTAACAAAATCTTCAAGGGGGCTGAAAATTGGGGCTTTTATAGCGGTAGTTTAGATAAAGAAGTCCTTGAAGACTCCAGATTTTTAACATGGTTTGCACTCCTAAAAGTGCCCAGTTCGTCCACATGCACCTGTAAAGAAATTATTCCATGGGTGAAGAGTGGCACTCTTAAAAAGGGATGTCATGTAATCGCATGTGGGTCTCCATTTGGTGGTCTCTGTCCAGACCTCTTTATGAACTCAATTAGTAAAGGTATAGTTAGTAATCTGGCAGGAGAGGAGAATGCACTGATCCTGACCGATGCCCGCTGCTTGCCTGGCACCGAAGGAGGCGGTGTGTTTATTAGCAAAGGAGGCATATCTTACCTCATGGGTTTGATCGTTTCACCACTGTGCTGGAAATCCGATGAATGGATTGGACTGACACTTGTGTGCTCTGTTCACCTCATTCTGAAAAACATCATACAGGCTGGTGCCATGCAGGAGTCGCTGATAGAAAAGTCATCACAGTTAACAACCGGCTCTATTCAAGCTATTCAAGCTGCAACACGGCGGTCAGGTTCTGAATTTTACCCTGGAGTGGCACTGATTGAGACCGGCCTGCTGTGGGGTTCTGGTGTTCTGCTGAACCAGAATCTGGTTCTGACCTGCAGACATGTGGTGAATGAAAAGTCTGTTCTTACAGTCAGAGTCAACTTTGGAGGAAGGTAATGGCCTTAGAATTCATGCATATTCATTGTTACGAGGCCTAAAGAAGTGACATTTTGTTTGTTGACCTTTGTTAAATAAGCTACACGTTATTGGTATTGTTATATTTGTAATCACCAAGTGATTTACTTTCCACCTCAGATTTCATGCAGTAAGTGGTAAGGTGTTGTATTCATCAGCAACATCATCTCCCTATGATATCGCTCTAGTGGAGCTTCAGGAATCCCTCACTGACTCAGTAAAACCGCAGTTTACCACATACTTTCACCCAGGTAACGCTGTGCATACCTGTTTTATTGAAAATCATATTTAGCCAAAATTGTTTTCTTTATTTGTTTTTAATTTCTGTGGATGCCAACAACGTAAGAAAAAACACGTTCCTCCAGCTTGGTTTATACATGTAATAACTTCATAATCAAATAGGCTATACAGGGTTTTGTATCAATGTGACATTTGACACTACATGTATATTTTATATTTAACCCCAGTATTTTACATACAAAAACAATCAATGTGAAATTTGACACTATAAGTTCATTTTATATTTAATCAGTCTTTTTCATGCAACAACAATCATAACTTTGGAAGCCAATTTCCACCACACAAGAAAAAAATCATGCTTTGATAATCATAATCATGACATACTAAGTCATAAGTGACATACATGTGGAATACAAGAGATAAAACATTGAACTTGACATAAAAAGTATAACGTATGGCATAATAACAATGGTAACACTTTACAATAAGATTTCATTATTAACATTAGTTAACTACTTTAGTTAAGATGAATTAAGAATGAGCAATACTTCTACAGTATTTATTAATCTAAATGAATGTTAATTTCAACATTTACTAATACATTATTAAAATCAAAAGTTGTGTTTGTTAACATTAGTTAATGCACTGTGAGCCAACATGATCAAACAATGAACGAATATATTTTTTATTAACAAAGATTAATAAATACTGTAACACGTTTTGTTCATTGTTAGTTCATTTTAGTTAATACATTAACTAATGAAACCTTATTGTAAAGTGTTACCATTACAATTTTTACATAAACAGTCAAAATTGTGACAAATTACGCCTTTTTGTTATAATTATGATGTATCAATGCATGGTGAACTAAAATGACAGAGATGAATTCAAATCTCAAATTGTTTGAGATAAATTTGTCGTCCTCATATGTAAAATACATTTAAATGTATTATAAATATAATAATACAATTAAGTTTATAGTATTATTAATATACATTTGTTGTATCTTATAACAGCTACTATAACAAAAACATTGTTTACATTTGCATACTTTGTCCCAGTGCAGCACCCGACATTTTCATGTTCTGTGTTTATTTAGGTGAGGACGTAGTTGTCGTGGGTTATGGAGCTTTAGGGAGCCGCTGTGGCCCCTCGTTGACCTCAGGGATCTTATCCAGAGTCATCACCCATCAGTCACAGCCTGTGATGCTGCAGACGACATGCGCAGTGCAGTCTGGAGCCAGTGGTGGCGCTGTGGTTCGGTCTGCCACTGGGGAATTGTTAGGTAATACTAATATCATACATATAATTTTAAATAGTTAGGAATTCATGGAAAATGTCAATACATCAACCAGTTGTTGTTCAGAAGAAATCCAGTCTTCAGTGGAGATATATGAAATATACTATTCTTTCTCTAACCAGAAGGGGGCAGCATAGGACCAATTAAGCTTCTTTCTTTTTTTTCACCCTAAAGTCAGAGGCAGAGCATTCCAGCTCTTCATCTGCTGACCGTGACACTGTATGACTAAATCAAGCTTTCACAGGCGGATTAAATCTCATTTGTTTTATTTTATCGTACACCTCTAAATATTAGGTATCGTGTCCAGCAACACAAGAGACTTCACAGCGAAAGTGACGTATCCCCACCTGAACTTCAGCATCCCAGTGAGCGTTCTGGAACCTCTGCTGAGACGTTTTGATCAAACTGGAGATGCTGCTGTTTTTAAGGTCTTGGACAGTGCGGAGGATGATGTCAGAAAGATATGGAGACTACAGAGCATTCAAAGCAAGCTTTGATCAGTCAGAATTTTGCAAATGTACAAGATTCTTGAGAATCACTAGTAAAATTAACCTTTGTGTGTTGTAAAGTTGCTGAAAATTGGAAAATTTAAAAAAAATTGATAATATGTCAAACCTGTGTATTGATTGACACATTAAAAGGGTGTATTTCTCAGGTTCTTATTTGACCTTTTAATATGAAACAATTTATAAAACGATCGATTTCTTTAAGATTACACAAAAATTCCTGCACCCCTTAGATTTATTTTTTAATAATTTTTTTAGATACTTGCAAGTGAACTTAATGACTTAAGTTCACTTGAGTAAACCTCCCCCGGTAAAATAGTTAGAAACCAGGGCTTTCTAATCATTTTAGGTTGATTTAAGCAGGATGCTAAACTGGATCATATTATATAAAATGTGTCAACACAGAAAAATGATTTATTCTAATAGAGATTAGAAGTTATTAGGAGTCATTTTGCGGTTTGATTCTCTTAATGACAAATGAATATTTGTAAGACATGTTTACATCATGCCCTCTATTAAAAGTTAATATTCTTTTTTTGAACCCCCTGGTGTCTTGAGAACCAGCTTTTGTTGGGTATTTTTGGTATAGTTATTATAAATTGCACTTGTCAAAAAATGTGTTTAAAAGTGGGTTGAAAAGATTTGTTTTCTCATGTCTCCAGTATCACATGAAAATTAGCATGTTGCCGAGTCTTGGGAGTAATTAAGAGAACAAAGGAACAGCACTTCGGGCCCAGTGCCTTTAATCATATTCAGGCAAGAAAGATGACACACTTGGACAAAGAAACATGCAACTAAATGCAAATATACTGCAACTCAGCGTAAATATGTTTTCTAATCAGTAAAATCCAAGTATTTACAATAATAATGGCATGTACAGTACAATATAATCATACACTAGTCCAAGTGGTATAACATCACTGTTAGCAGACTCCTGTACACTGCTGAGTAAGACATCAGGACATTCACTATAGACTTTAAATGAGCTGGCCGTCTTTCCACTCCATCACACCAGCAGCAAGGTGGTATTGCCTATGCTATGATAATCCACAAGTAATTTAAATATCGCCAAGATTCATCTCAATGACATTCGGAGGATTTATATTCTCCTGTAGACGCGGCGGTACACTGATGAATGTGTTTACGTCGGGGATGTTACCATATCAAATGCATTTTCTGTGGCTATGTGGAGCTCAAGAGATCACATCTGGGTGAATTATCATACCAGATCAAGCCTGTAATTCATACACATTTTGCAATTCCAGCTAGCTGCTTTGATTCCACAGCATTTTCACCCTAAAAACTGATGCTTTGGGTATTTTATACTGCCAGACTCATGTATTTTAACTTTAGTCGTATATTATAAGATTCAGACCTTGATTATAAATCCCTGCAGCACCAGATTTACACCTAGGAACATTACAGCCAACACATCTTTCACTGCAAATGACGGGAAGATCTGATTAGAAGACATCTGCAAAGACAGATTGGTCCCTTTGGGTGTAGGAGAGAGAATATGTCAGATTGCATTTTTGAAAATTCATTCCTGCCTCTCCTGCTCATCCATACACTGCCTTGTTATAATAGCCGTGTTGCATCACAAGTACTGTATTACAGCCTGACCTAGTGGAGAAGCAAATTCTATTATGACAGACATATGAAACCAGAACGCACATATCTCAGGATTTATTACTGTCCATTTTAAAGAAAACAATGATTTGACGTCGGGGTGAGGGATAAAGCTACTGCATTGAGGTGTAATTTATATGAAAATAGAATGCTTTGCCATCTCTGGTTTCGGTGGATTATGACACAAAAGACAGGGAGAAAAAAAAGTGCCTTTAGGACAAGGATCGTCTTGTAGAAGTGCATTGTGTATTTCTGGCAAGTAGCCTAAAATCGGTTTTAGTTTGTGAGCGTGGAGAAAAAGCTCTTCAAAAACATTGACGAATGCTACTTTATTTTAAAAGACATTTACGACTATTTATCTACTTCAAGGTAGCATACAAATAATGCAGAGACTGTGTGAGCCAGAAGAGAGTAACAGTCTTAGCTTTTTGAGCTAAGCTAACTGAGTTTTTTGGTGTTTTGTCTCTTTGTCTTTATAGTAATTTGTGTGTATATGCTCTAAATCAGTTGGAGGACATATTTGAAACAATTTACATAAACTCTTAACAGCAAAAACATTAGCAGCAATCTCAGTGTTCAAGGAAAGCAGTTGCTGATGGTCGACAGAAGATCTAATGAAGCAGGTTAGACCCTGAAAGCCTGTTTATCTTTATATACATTCTTTATAAAGTCGTACCTTAAACGCTTTAGACTTAACAGGTATCATTTCCGAACGTATAGTGATGAAAGGATGTATTTATTAGACTTGCATAAGAACGCATCACATCACACCTATCAAGCGCCTAATTCTGAGCTCGTGTTTGCAGATGCTAGAGACTGATTCAGAAGAAAACTCTCGCACTTACAACAAAAATATGATGTTTCACAAGTATTCATAAGCCCAATAATTGAAAACTCGTTCCCAATACCGTAATCTCACTACAGCTAACACTAACCAAGACACCCCTCCCCCTCCCTCCCCAAGTCAAAGCTGTTTGGAGTGCAGTATAAAGATGACCGACCCTCCAGTGTCCACCATTTAATGTCAGAAGATAGAGCTGCCTCTGTAGAAATGGGCCACAGAAAGCTACGTCGAACAAGGCGAGAATCGCGTTTCGTTCTACCAAATGTATCCGCCGTCATCAACCTCCCCCACCTCCCCTTCCTCCTCCTCAGCCTCCTCGCCGTTCTCCTCAGCCTCCTTTTCCTCTTCATCTTCCCATCCGAGCCCGCTGCCAAAATCGCCCGAGTACGTGGCCACCTCGTCTGGAAAAGGAAAATGTTATTTAAAAAACTGCCTATATCATTTTGCGAGGCAAACTGAGCGATTTATGCACGACAAAGGCTAAACAATACAGGCTTGGCGCGAGGACAATAAACAAACAGGAGGTGTGACTTCGACGTTGGCCTTTTTAATCGCTATTTTATGTCCAGTCAGGGGATTTGTTCTTATCACCTGCAGGTCTGTCGCAGCCAGTAGTAATTAATCTTATGGACCTTTATTTCGGCGAGACAACTGCTCTTTTGGAATGGAAATGAACCTGGCCTAATGAATGTAGCACTTGGTCTCCTGTCAGATGGGTGACTGATGATTTTGGTGGATCTAAGTCCTAAGCCCTGTAGCTACAGAAGGAGCATTGTCCTCTGTGTGTGTGTGTCTGTGTGTGTGTGTGTGTGTGTGTGAGTGTGTGTGTGTTGTGCTCGTGCTCACCACAGTCGGGGTTGCCATGGATTCTGGAGCCCATTAACTCTCCTCCATGCTGGTCCACACACCAGCACTCCCCTCTGCTCTTGTCACACTGCAGTCTCCTGTAAAAGCCGTCCTCGTCACAGCTGGGAATGTATGTATCTGAAATGACAAAAAGGGAGAGAAACACACAGACACGCACATTTTGAGAAGCAACGGTCGTGTTTAACATTAATTTTCATATCCTACATGAATTGAGTATAAAATAAGCGTTGCATCACGGGTGACATTGCAAACTAGTTTGCATATTGCTGTAAATCATGTGACAGACTCAAGTGACACTGCTCATTGTAATGCATAAAATGTAACCTTGGCGAGGGTTGAGGGCTGAGTTTCTGTCTGCAGTGTCTCGAATCATGATGCACGATAAAAACCAGCTGCATGGAGTAATAACCAACTATATGTCCACATAATCATCATGATCTATTTAGCAATCAAATGCAGGATTTAACCCTCTGATGCACTGTGTGTACTAGGGGATAAATCTGTAAAAGCCAGTTTTAACCATTCTGGGTGTGACACTACATCCTAACCACCACGGGGGATTCGATTGACCCTTACCCATAATTCAACTTGACTGTCCTCTTTTATGTCCTTGTGTTATTTATTTATTGGAACATAAATTAAATTTGGCTGTAGAAAGTCATGACCATGTACTTCAGAATGTATATATAGATGGTTGTATTTTTTTTTTAGTATTTGAGTTATTTATTTTTGTGTTTTAGTTAAAAACATTAATTACATTTTTCTTTAGAGAGGGTTAAACAGAGGTTGAGCTTTCTAGGTTAAGCTTTTCCTTTGACACTCACCCATAATTCTGCATGACTGTCCTCTTTTTATGTCATTGTTTTTTATATTTATGACAACATAAATTAAACAAGGCTGACGAAAGTGGTGCCATGAACCTCAGGAATATTTACCAATGTCTTGCATCACAATGGACACATGTATAGTTCTCTCAAAATATGCAATTTAAAAAGGAAGAAAATGATTCACCAATGATTTCAAAAGGATTTTTTAATTCATCCAACATATTAAGTACATTCTATGTCTGCCCTCTTTATATGCAATGGTGTTTTCAATTTATGAAAAAAAGTGTTGATTGATACATACTGATTATAGTCTTGTTTTGACTTAAACAGTCAATTTTGTTATTTAATAATGAATGTAATGATGATGAATGAGTTGAACGTGTTCATTTGTCAGAATAATGTCGAAACTCTTTGGTCGTATAGTATGCCTAGCTGTTTGTTCTCAGGCATCAGGGGACGTTTGCATTTTGACTGCATCTGATTGGCTGTAGCATCTGCAGCACGTCCTTGGAGAGTCCTGAAAGCTCTGCAGCCAAACATGCAGCACTGCCTGCAGCCATGAGCTCCGCTCTAATCCGCACACCTGATTAGGGGCTAATCCCAGCCTTGTGCTTGTCATCTGTTAAATGAAACTCCTCCAGAGTCACCACTTCCTCCCCTCTACCTCGCTTTTTACTTCTCTCTTCCATTCTTTTTTCTTCCAGTTGTATACATTCTATATAAACTCGTTCTCTGGTTCTCCCTTTGTTGCTTTCCTTCACACCTTAATTTGTTCTTCCCAAGATAGTACAGAGAGTCTCAGAGGAACGTTCATTCTTACCCGGTTTCTTCTTGGCTCCTTCTTGCACTTGGATTCGCTCTAGCTCAGCCAGGCAGGGAGGCTCTGTGGAAGAAAAACAATCAGTGCC